AGTTTGATCACCCTGAGGAAACACAAGAGTCAGGACATGCTTTCCAGATTTTTTTTGTTTGCAATTACAAAACATGCAAGTTATTGGAATTGCAGATGTAGAAACTACCTAAAAATAAAAAAATTCTTACAAAATAAACAGTAAAAATACTTGTTAATCAATGATTTATTAATATTTAATGGATCCTTAGTAACTGTTAATGAAATTTATTAACTGTTTATAAATATTTCTTTTTAATAAATGATTTTTTTAATGTTAAAAATATTTGTTTATACTTAATAAATCATAAGTTTAATTCCAAACAAATGTTTTCATTAAAAGTTAACAAATCCTTTGATCAGTATAAATGGTAGAAATTAGTAATACAGTAAAATCAGCAAAACTTATATCAGTTAAGCCATTTACAAGGTTTTTAGTTAACTTTTATTAAAATTAATACAAGACATTGACTTATGGAAATAAATTAATTACCTGGTCAAAATCCTCAGTAACAGGAGTTAATAAATACGCACTACTCTCTTTATCAGTAGTTGTTGTACTTGCATTTGGAGGTATTGGATAGTCATTAGCAATTGAAGTACTTGGATGCACCTGAATATATTTTATGATAGGAATTAAAAACGCTATTGATTATATACTTACTTCAATATTTTTAACAAATTCATTAAAATCTTCATTGTAGATTTTTTTTAAAACAGTCACTTTTTTATAACATGAGGAGTGATATCCTACCAAGTCTATTAAATGTTCGTTTAACTGTACCTCACTATACTTAAAGTCTTTAGATTTTCGGTACGCTAACTTCAAAAAACAATTCTCAAAAGATTTTTCATCAAAGTCAATCACTGATTCTCTTGATTTACATAAAAAACACTTCTTCGCCATTTTTATTTTTTTCACAAAACATAATTGATGTGACAGCTCGATGTCACCTTGACATTGACGGAAAAGTTTTATTCACACAGCCACAATATAGCTGTATAAGTTTTTTTTGTTAGCGATAGTACATCTTTGCTTGCTCCAATTTTTTTATTTAAAAGTCTAGCAACCGTTATTTATGAACGGATTTTTCAAAGCAACCCTATACCTACTACTGTATTCGTAATAAAATTGCCTTCATTTTGATATATTTTTTAAGTGGTAAGCATATGAGTGCAATTACTGTTATAAACTTACTTGTTTGTACAAAGCAACCAGGTAATAGGGACCAGAAAAAGGTAGGCAACCTAGCTGTTACATATTCTGTATGTTGTATGCTTTCCATTGGAATTTCGTTCATTTGGCAAGCAAGTCGGTGAAATTTAAAAAAAAAATATTTTTTTAATTTTTTATTTATTATAGCCATGACTATTTTTTATGGCAACCCTATTGGTTTATGTTCAGAAACATATTTTATTTGATAAAATATAATTTTCATCTAGTAAGCAGATGGGTGAAGGTCGACCTTACTTGGGATCTTAGACTACTAGGTGCGTCGATTTTTATGACGAGCAGTTTATATGAAATAGGAGTTGCGAAATGCGAATATTCGTATTTCGCATCTATATGAAACCACTTTTAAAATTGCACATTTATTGGTGGATTTGGTTGCTCAACAGTGTTGCCATATATAACATGATTATCGAAGTGTAATATTTTTTTCTTAAAAAAAAAAGATTAAAATAGTTATCTGTACCATAATCGATCATATATAGTAACATAATTTATTCTCCTAGAATAACGTATTACGGTACAGTTGTAATAATTTTCTGAAAAATCCAATAATTTTGTTAATTTTCTCATCTGGCAACACTGTTGCTCAACGAAATTGGGCAGTTTGATGATAGTTGCGGACGCACGTACTTGTAATATTTGGCCAATCAAATTCAATCTGTTTAGTAAATCTTTGGCCAATTAATTCTAACCCAAACATTGTTTGCTGAGGTAGTTGAGGAACGGTTGAATCGAATGCGGTATCCATTTTTTGGAAAAAAATTCCTAATGGTCGATCTCTAAATTTCGACCAATTTAGCAAATCTTAGCAGGCCTTCCCAGATAGCACAAGTACGTTCGTAGGACGTTCGTAGGACTTCCACCCAGGACAACCCGAACGTCCTCAGGATGTCCGGGGTCTGCAAAAGTACGTTCGTAGTACGTCCACAGACTTCCGAAATAGACTGTTTCAGATGTCCTCAGGACGTCCGTATTTGACCGTCCACAGACTTCCGAAATAGGATGTCCTCAGGACGTCCGTATTTGACCCCAAGCTGTCCAATTCGGGACATATGAGGACCGAATTAGGACATAGTTTTATTATAATAGGGAAATGTAATACAGTGTTAACAAGTGTTTTGTTAATATATATATATATATATATATATATATATATATATATATATATATATATATATATATACAGGGTGTCTGGGAAAAGGAGGTCAATCCGTTAACCATATATTCCTTAAGTTAAAACAATAAACCTTTCATAATACTATTTTTATTTATTTCTCCATTGAATTTCACATACCTTCATATCTCTAAATTATTTAAAAATATCAAGTGAAAACTTAAATTTTGTAGGGGTTTTTCCATATAATAAAAGTTGTTTTCACTTATATCATATATTTAAATACACAGAAATTTAACTAAACAGGGAGCTAACTAAAAACAGCACACGCTGTTTTATGAACAATGCCAACATGGCGGATTTCAGACTGCCAACTTAAAGTCACTAAACTGGTTACTTCCAATACCAACTGATTATTTGGCGGTAAATTTGAAATAAACTCTTACAATTTATTGCATTAAAAATATTATAGGACAAATTAAATAATTTAAATGTTAAAGTGGAGAAATTTCTCCAATGGTATTTTTAATTCGTATTATACATTTCTCATATAATATTATTAATTCAAATTATTAATTTGGCCAATGTGATATTTTTTATTCAACAAATTAAAAATATAATATACCTAATATATATAATATAATTAAAAATAATTTTTTAAAATTTGTAATGATATTTTTAATGCAATGAATTAATTAATTTTACTAGATATTTTTAAATAAGTTAGAGATATGGAAAATTGCAATTGCTAAAAATACTTGACAACTAAAGACACAATTCCACTTAAGTGGATAAAGGGTCTATCTATAGACATATAAGTGAAAAAAAATTGACAACTTTTTTTTAAAATCTTTTATCGTGCTTGATTAAGGAGTATTTTTAATAAAAAACAAGGTGTAATTTTTTTTCACTTAGACCCGGGTCGCGACCAGAAAACCGATGGACGTCCTGAGGCCTAGGCCTATGGACGTCCTAAGGCCTAGGCCGATGGACATCCTGAGTACGTCCATCGGTTTTTTGCCTGCGACAATAGTTGAAGATACAATTTGATATATCACCTTTTATAAAGGCCTTTATAAAGGGTGATATATCAACTTGTATCTTCAACTATTGTCGCAGGCAAAAAACCGATGGACGTACTCAGGATGTCCATCGGCCTAGGCCTTAGGACGTCCATAGGCCTAGGCCTCAGGACGTCCATCGGTTTTCTGGTCGCGACCGTCTGTAAAGGATTTAAACCGGATGTCCTCAGGACATCTTGTGCTATCTGGGTTAAGGCATATAAATTTAAAATTTTCCACTTGGTCACTTTTTATTTAAATGTCCCAAAAACAAAAAATATTAAAATCGTTCAACGCGGTCTTAAATCGCACACACTTATACACAGAGAAAAATTTTCACATAACTGGTTGTTGGTTATTTGTTAGCTTCGTAAACTGATGTGAAATTACATAGATTGTGTAACATAAACATATCTATGTTTTTTTACATAAAATATGTGATTTATGTTTACACAAAATTTGTAAATAATTCATAATTGTTTAAAATGTACAATTGGCGTCTCCGAAATGTGAACGATTTTTTGTTGTCATGGATTTTTTTCATAAAATTTATTCGTTCATTCCTGGCTTCGGCCAGTGGTGTTACATATAGAAGGGAGAATACTAAGAATAAGAACAATATCCTAAATCGTTCTATTTTTTAATAATATTTTAACAAACAATAATATAAACAATATAACAAATAAATTAACTTTAATTTGGTTTTATACAACAATATAAATTAACAAGTAGGTAAATACACAATAAAAATAACATAACTAAATTAACATATTGCTCAAGAAAATTGGTTTTTAAGTGAAATAGCTGCAGATTTAAATATCAGTAAAAGCTTCATATTTTATGTAATGTTTAATTATTTTAAATTTAAATATTTTGGCGGTAGCTACAAAAGCGCCACCTACTGGCAACTAAAAACGACGACATACAAAATGGACACATTCCACATCCGGCACCGAGATATAACACTTCTGTAAAACAAATGTAATAAAACTTTAACTGTGATAATAGTGAATATATAGTCAATGAACGAGTGTTGGTTTAATTTGCGAAGTACTCCTGTTCCCGATGAATAAAACATAACATTTGGCGACGAGGTAAATTTGGATTTAAAAAAAGAATGGCGAATATAATAGGAAGCATGGCTGAGTTTAATCCAGACACGGATGACTGGATTGTATACGCAGAAAAGTTGGACCAGTATTTCCAAGCGAACAAAATAGAGGACGAAAAGATTAAAACAGCAACTCTCATTAGCTTGGTAGGCACATCTACATACAAAATTCTGCGCGACTTAACCTTCCCTGAGGAACTCACTACGTTATTAAAAACACAATTTAGCCCGCATGTATCCGTTTGGAGAGAAAGAATATTATTCTATGCAGCATCTCAGAACGATTTGGAATCAATCTCAGAATGGTATGCAAGAGTGAGGTCATTGGCAATAAATTGCAACTTCAGAAACGATCTTCAACAAGTATTAACAAATAAATTCGTCACGGGACTAAGAAAAGGCAAAGTACTAGACCGAGTTTGTGAAGAAAAAGAAACTTCCACCTTGAAAGATCTACTACAAACTGCGGTGCAAAAGGAATCAGCAATTTCATCAACAAAAAATGAAATTAATTATGTCAACAACAAGCCCAGGTATGAAGAAACAAGAAGACGTTACCAGCATCATCCCAGGAACACTGAAAGGAGCCATAAAGCAACAGCAAGCAAAGAAAACACTCACCAATCACAGAAGTACCAAAGAGGAACGTATGGACAGCATAGCCAGTCAACTTCAGAGGCAAGACCCAGATGTAAACATTGTGGTAACAAACATTCACAAACCTGCAGGTATCAAAATTTTAAATGTAATTTTTGTAAAAAAAATTGGTCATATTGAACGTGCTTGTTCTAAAAAGAACAATCATTATTACATTGATAGATCTAATGAATCTTTAACTATAAATGAATCTGAAATCTTAGATATTTATAATATAAACTCTAATAATAATACCAGTTCATTTACTTTAGACATTTTAATTGACAAAAATAAATATAAAATGACTGTAGACACCGGTGCTGCTCTATCGTGTATAAATTATGAATATTATAAAAATAATTTAAAAAAATATAAATTAACAAATGATAATATAATATTTAGAGGGTATACTGGAAATTTTATAAAACCTGTGGGATATTTTATTTGTGTTGTAAATTTTAATTGTGTTTGTAAAAAAATAAAATTCTATGTGGTGCAAAATGGAGGACCTTGCTTACTAGGGAGAGATTTCTTAAAAGTATTTAATATAACCTTGAATATTGACAATTTTAAATCAATATGTAGTATTGAAAATATAAAAACTGAAATAATAAATGAATATGACGATGTTTTTACTAATAAACTAGGGAAATATAAATTTAAAAAAATTAACTTACAGTTGGAAGACAATGCAACTCCAATTTTCCATAAGCCTCGACCTGTACCACTTGTCTATCGTACTGAAGTAGAAAAACAGCTAGAAGATTTGGTTAAACAAGACATCATAGAACCAGTCACTACCAGCGATTGGGGGACACCCATAGTTCCTGTCATCAAAGCCGATAACACAATTAGGATATGTGGAGACAACACAGAAAATCACATAAATAATTTGAAAGCAGTACTAAACAAACTAAGAGAAGCTGGCCTCACTTTAAAAAAAGAAAAATGTTCATTTTTTAAAGATTCAGTAGAATATTTGGGACACGAAATTAGCAAAGAAGGAATCAAGAAAACTGACACAAAAATAAGTGCAATATTAAATGCCCCACGACCAACAACTATAACGCAAGTAAGATCATTCATTGGTTTAGTAAACTATTATTCAAAATTTGTTCCAAAATTAGCTCAAATATTAACTCCAATTTATAAATTACTTAAAAAGGATACCAAATTTATATGGAGCGACGAATGTGAAAAATCCTTCAATACAATCAAAAACAAAATTGCTGAAGATGTTACCCTAACTTTTTTTGATAGCAAAAAACCATTTTTTCTCACCACAGACGCATCAACAGATGGAATATCAGCTGTTCTAAGCATCAAAGAGGACAAGAGAGATAAAATTGTGGCATGCGTAAGCCGCACGACAATGCCACAAGAAAAGAAATATTCCGTAATTGAACTAGAAGCATTAGCAATAATATTTGGCATAAGAAAATTTCAAAACTATCTTCAGGGACAACACTTCACAATAAATATGGACCACAAACCATTGTTAGGACTTTTTGGTAAAAACAAACCCATTCCAAATAGACACAAAGATAGAATACAAAGATGGAGCATATGGCTCAGTGGATTTGACTACACCATTAATCATATAAATGGTAAAGAAAATTTTTTAGCTGATTGGCTTTCCAGAATGCCAATAAAAACCAAGACTGTATCTGATGAATACCAAAGGGAAGGATTTATATATTTCACTGAAAATTGCAATGAGTGGCCTGTTGATAACTGCAAAATTAAAGAAGAAACTCTGAAAGACAAATTGTTACAAGAAGTATGTAAGCACATACAAACAAAAAAATGGCCTGAAAACATCCAAAATGAACTAAAACCATTTTACCAAAGAAGAGAAGAATTAAACATAGAAGATGACACCTTAATTTGGGGGTATAGAATTGTGATACCCAACAGTTTAAGGAAGAAAATGCTCGAAGAACTTCATAGATCACATTTAGGAATTGTAAAGACAAAATCTTTGGCTAGATCGTACCTTTGGTGGCCCCAGATAGATAAACACATTGAAAATAAAATAAAATCGTGTATTCCATGTTTAAAAAACCAAAGTGACCCTAAGAAAAGTGAATTAACACCTTGGCCTGCAGCTACTCAAGCATGGGAGAGAATACACATAGATTTCCTAGAACTAAATAAAATCAACATCTTAATAATTATTGATGCATTTTCTAAATTTCCAGAAGCTTTCATTATGAAGAACATCACCACAACTGAAACAGAAGAAAAATTAAGAGAAACATTTGCAAGATATGGTTTGCCAACTACACTTGTTTCTGACAATGGACCTCAGTTCAAATCCGGCCAATTTAAAAACTTCATGAAACAAAACGGAATAAAACACTTAACAAATCCACCATATGCAGCTTATTCAAACGGAGCAGCTGAAAACACAGTAAAAACAATAAAGAACAAAATAAAATCAGCCATTCTGGACAAGAAAAACAAGAATGTAAGTTTAAATACACTTATTTCTAGATTTCTATTTGAGTATAGAAACATAGAACATTGCACGACAAAGGAATCTCCTGCTTATTTAATGTTTTCTAAAAGACCCCGTACTAGATGGAATCTTTTAAAATCATCTACATCAACTGATAGAAGCAAAATTGAAAAAGAGGTTGTTAGAAGAATTGAACAACAACAAAACAGACAAAAACAACAAAAAGGGGGAAAGAAAAGATCATTGGAAATAGGAGAACCTGTAATGGCAAGAAACTATAGGAATATTAACATAAAACAATGGACAGAAGCATTCATAACAAAGAAAATTGGAAACTCTCTGTACATTTGTAAGACAAAAGATGGTGAATTATGGAAAAGACACATTAATCAGCTTAGGAAGAGAGAACTGGAGCAAACACAGTCGCCTGACAAAGACAAGTGTGTACAGGGTGCTTCAAATAAAACTTATTTTATAAAATATCATAGAATAGGTAAAAACATTGATTCATCTAACATTCTAAATACAACAGATAACAATATTGATTTAGATAACATTCCTAATATTAACTTACCTGAAAATCCTAATACATCTAACTTTTCTGATACAAGTTCACTTCAAGATGAACAAATATACAACAAACCAAAACGAAAAAGAATAACGTCATGTAAATTAAAAGATTATATAGTCAATATAGATTAACAAAACAATTTATCTCTACAAGAAAATCCATTTGTACCAATTTATGTAAATTTATATTATTATGTTAAAATCATTTCCTTTTAAATAATACATATTATTTTGATGTAAAAATACTTGTAACAACATGAACACTCTAAAAAAAATACATATATATATATATAGATATATAAATAATAATAATTATAATAAAAAAATGCAATAACAGCAAAATGTTGACACAGGTATTTCTAAACAAAAAAGGGAGGAATGTAATGTTTAATTATTTTAAATTTAAATATTTTGGCGGTAGCTACAAAAGCGCCACCTACTGGCAACTAAAAACGACGACATACAAAATGGACACATTCCACATCCGGCACCGAGATATAACACTTCTGTAAAACAAATGTAATAAAACTTTAACTGTGATAATAGTGAATATATAGTCAATGAACGAGTGTTGGTTTAATTTGCGAAGTACTCCTGTTCCCGATGAATAAAACATAACATTTTATATCAAAAAACGTTGGCAAGAACAACAAAGATTGAGAAGACCTATCAGGCAAGGTGTAGGTAAAATCTCCAACTAAAATGAAGACAATGCTTTTGTCGCACTTATTATGCAAAATCCTTTCAATAGCGCATTTAAGGCCCGAGAAGATACACAATTTCCAGGATCTCTTCGAACAGCTCAAAAAAGATTGAAACAAGCTGGCTTAAAAAACTGTGCTGCTAAGCTATTTTAATACTTAATTGCAGAGCCATTAGCTGACGCATGTCGTATGACTCGGCAAGCTCATCCCAAGAATTTTCAACAGCACTCCATAGTTCATCTCGGTTTGCTGGCCTAAAGTCCCGTTGATATATATTTTTAACTATAAAACTCCACACGTTTTCAATGGGGTTTAAGTCAGGGCTTCTAGCTGTTCAACAGTTATGTGGTTGTTGTTTACCCACTCTGTAACCACCCGAGCTGTGTGAACTGGTGCATTGTCCTGTAATATAATATTTATTAGAATCGTTTTTGAATACTATACAGTTTTGTCTAACTGAAGGTAGCATAACGTTGTCCAAAATCCTCGTATAGTGCTCAGCAGTTAATCTACCATCAATTTCCCAACATACTCCCGGACCATGGATGCTTATCCACGCCCAAACATTTATGGAAGCGTCCACTATTTGAGGTTCTTAATGTATATTTCTCCTCAAATCTTGAGTTTCTTGGACGATATACACGCAGCCTTCCATTATTGCAAGATTGGAACGTTTTTTTCATCCGAAAATATAACATTATTCCAAAAATCGTCTCCATAATTTAAATAGTCATTGGCGAACTGGACTCTCCTGCGCTTATTTTCGTCAGTTAAAAAAATCTTATGAGCAGCAGCCACAGACCTACCTAGGTCTGTGGCAGCAGCACAGTTTTTTAAACCAGCTTGTTTCAATCTTTTTTGAGCTGTTCGAAGAGATCCTGGAAATTGTGTATCTTCTCGGGCCTTAACTGCGCTATTGAAAGGATTTTGCCTAATATGTGCGACAAGAGCATTGTCTTCATTTTCATTGGAGATTTTTCCTACACCTTGCCTGAGGTCTTCTTAATCTTTGTTGTTCTTGCCAACGTTTTTTGATATAAAATATGCAGCTTTTACTGACATTTAAATCTGCAGCTACTTCACTTAAAGACCAATTTTCTTCTAATTTGGCTATTGCCCTGGACCTCTGAGCCTCGGTTAAGTGGGGTGGCATTTTTAATATTGCAATTGACAACTATTATCAAATTTGACAACGACGGACGACACTGATGCAAAGCCCATATTACACGATTAAATTTTGCCGTTCACATTTCGGGGACGCCAATTGTACATGACAGATGTAATTTATATTTACACGTTTGCATAAATTTTATACATATATAATGTATTTTACTTACATGCACGTAATATGTAATTT